GAATCATGGCTACTATTATAGCAGCACAAAATCCCAAATGAATTCTGGGGTTTATGACTAAATAAATTGGTATGTACATTAAGGTTGGTTTATACCATGGCCAGAGATGATGTGTTGAGAAAAGTTGCAGAAAATGGGACAAAACTATGTGAAATGTTATTAAAGTGACAGAGTTAACTGAACCAACAGTCTTACACCCCCATGTCTGTATCACAGCCACTCCCAAACTGCCTACTCCAGTGAGACTTGATTATAAAAACTAGCCAAGAGGTACAACCTGGTCCTAGACTGAAGGTAATCCCACACTCCTGTTTCTGCTTCTCCTCTTAACTGTATTTGTACAAATAAGTCAGAGTGAAGCAAGTCAGGAGGAGGATTCTCACTGCTAATACACACCTTTGGCAAATGCATGTAAAATAGCAGGCACCACACAGCAGTTGCTGCTTAGAAACACAAATACAAGTTTACCCTTCAGTAACTGGTTTCTGTAGCCATTCCTAGAGCCTTTTTCCTAGACTTGTTACAATTTATAACATCAACTAGTTTGACAAGCACCAAGAATTCCTTTTTTTTTTTTATGAACCGCCTTCACTCAAACTCTAAGAATCCAAGGATTTTGACAGATCATGAAGAACAATGCTCTGCTACTGCTTTTGACACCATGTTTTAAACAGTTTTTCTTACTCAGTACAAACAGAACACAGAAGATGAAGAGCTACCAACAACTATTTCGATTTTTGAAATACTTACTTATGATGACTGCTGCTGTGACGATGATGATGGTGGTGATGGTGGTGGTGTTTTGAATGATGCTGGTCTTTCTCAGTAAGAGATGAGGATGAGGAGTTAGAATGTGAAGATCCCAGACTCTTCCTCTGTTCTTTTGTCTTCTGTAGCACCCTCTTGTAGGACAGTGTGCAGAGCCAACACAACAACTTTCCATCAACCTTTTGAGAAATAATTCAGGTTTTATTTCCAAGTACATTGCACTAGAGTGATATACTCAATATTTGCAAGGATATTTTGTTTCGCTTCATCCACTATCTTTGGGAAAAACAGACATCTTTGCTATGAAACATTGCTATTGTATATCCAATATGTGCAAGTTTTTTTTTAGTAAAGTGAATCTTATTCCACTTTTCATTTCAAATTAGGCTACAAAGAGTCCTAGCAACTTTTGGACCTGCTCTACATCACAGAAATAATAATAACTTTTTAAAAGGAATAGTCTTTTTTAGGATAGACATCATATGCCCTCTCTCAGCCTATGATACTGCAGGCAGAATCAAGACGTCCAGCCAATGTGTTACTTGTACCAAGTAAATTCTTCTGTAAAAACAGCATTATTCTTGGGTTCAGTCAAGAGGTTTTTGAGGTCATTTTCTCAGCACCTTCTGGAATGAGAAAGTGGCACTCACCAAAGCTATTTCACAAAACAAAAAACAAAGGGCTGCTCAGAGCAGTCTACCTCTCTGGTGCTCTACTTAAAGGCAAGGCAGGCAAATAAGAAGAGACAAAGTGACAGATTCAAGTTATGAACATACATAAAATCCAAAGGAAAATAAAAGTAAAATAAATATCAAAACATGAGGAACTGTTAATCTGCTTAGCTTCTGTTCCCCAGCTACAATTGTCAGCTAACACTTATGCCTATTTTTAGAAAGAGTGATTTAAGTAAAAGTTAGCTCAGTAGCTAAAACAACACTTGCAAGTTACAAAATTTAATTCAAATATTGTAAAGCACAGATCAGCAACTTTATTCTAGTATGAGAGAACCTAAGATACATTCCTGTTAATCTTTCTCTTCTGAAGGATGAACACTGTTGTCAGCCTAAGCCATGAGAGATGTGAAACAAAGCCTACCTTCCTTCTTCCCTCCTCTTTTCGGTCAAAAGCACATTGCTGCTTGCACTGCTCACAGGTCTGAGGCGGGCCATACTTCTTCTCTGAGTTGGTGCAACGCTGGCATTTTGTGCCAATAAATGCTGCAATAATGTTACAATATTGACAAGGCTTGGGCTGAAAAAAATAGGTTGAACTGAAGTCAATACATTTGTATTTTCAGTAATGAGGACAGGTATTTCAATTCACACAATGATGCATTGAAACTAGTAGAGCTTAAAATTATCTACCATAAAGAACCTTTTTCCTAACACTTTTATCTTCAGTATTAAACTTTTCCTCTAAAATTGTGCTTCCTCAGGGGTTAAAACCAGCCTGGACTTTCCATGAAAACCCAGACACAATAAAAGAAACACACACAACTATCTGGTTACTAACCTCTACAACTACTGCTTTTTATTTTATAAATATGTTGACATTTTCTCTCAGTTTCATTACATTACTTAAGAAGTTACTTAGGGAAATTTAAAAAAAGAGTAACCAAGCAATTTATTTTTTTGGACAGGAAATTTCTGATGGCATCCCTCTCCTTTGCCCAGCTCAGAGATTCAATAACCCTACAGTTCCAAGATTAGTATCCTAATTCCTGCAATTCTGCAGGAAACTTAAACAAAGAAAGCTCCACCACCAAACAAAAACCAAGTTCAGATCTATCTGGTCAGGTTATCAATTTTTATATCATATGCTCAACTAGACTAACCCAGTGCTACAAAATAAAATTGATGTCAGTTTTCATAGGTTAGAATTGGCTGGTTATCTTCAGTGCAGTTCCGTTTTTTGATGAACTACTGATAAAATTGTTGCTGGCTCAGTCCTGCAATTCATTTTGCTGCATTTTAAGCTTTTGAAAGCATTTCTTTGTTCAGTTTACATACACATTCACAAAGTGCCTGACTACATACCAACAGCTATTACGTTTCTCAAGTAAGTTGAATTTCAACTAATATGGTTTTTGTCAAGTATAGGGAAGTTATGCCTTTTTGTTTCACAACAAGATTATCTTGATACCTCCTAAAAACTTGTACCTGCAGGGCGGCTCAGATACAATGTGTGCATTCACATAATAGAAAAATTCATTTTTCCAGCAGAACTGAAGCTAAAATTCAATATGGGAAAACGCAAAGTAACATGAATGTAGATAACACTCAGAATCTTCTGTACTTATTAGCTTAACACGATTAACATGCATTTTTTAAGACTCACATAATATAAAGTATGTGGTATTACTAGATTTTCACATTTACCACTTGTTAAGAACAACGAGAGCTAATGGTCTTCCTGACATGAAGCACATGCTTATGAGAATATGCAGGGAACAACTTAACATGCTTGGCATGAATTAATGCTGCTTTGTTACAAATAGCTATACTGAAATTATTCTTAACTGTTAAGCTATATATAATCCAAAGAGATTTCAATTTGGGAAAAGAAATGGTAACCCACAGAAGAAATCAAGAGATGTCAGTCTTTTCCATCACCTTTCTGGATGGTAATCTATAGCGTGGGTTTGTTTTTTTTTTCTCAAAAGAAGATTAGTTACAAGAGAACTTTGTTTTCAGTTTGAAGCACAAATAAGCTCAACTTCAGCCTTAAGAACCAAGTAACTACTCACCGTTCCGAACTGCTTCACGTTTTGGGCACATTTCTTGCATATTGTGTTGGTTTTGCTAAAGAGATAAAATGGCATAACATTGAATTAGGTGACAAAAAGACACTTCGACATTCTTTCCCCACGCAATTACTTGCAAACAGAATCAAAGAAGAGTTGGGTTGGAAGGGACCTCCAGGCCAATCTCCCTGCCAAGGCCTTGAGCAGGTGACACAGGAACGTGCACAGGTGGATTCTGAACCTCTCCGAAGAGGGAGACCCCCTGCACAGCCTGATCCAGTGCTCTGCCACCCTCAGTGTAAGTAAGTTCTTCATGTGGAGGTGAAACTTCCTGTGTTTTAGTTTATCGCCACGGCTTCTCATCTTGTCCCAGAGCAACACCGAAAAGAGCCTGGCACCATCCTCTTGGCACCCGCCTCCCTTGGAGATATTTATACGCATTGATGAGATCGCCTCTCAGCCTGCTCTTCTCCGGACCAGCCAGGCCCAGCTCCCGCAAACGCGCTCGCCCCCGAGCAGACGCTGGCCGTACCTCTCCTGCTGGAACTCGGAGCGGCAGTAGGTGCACTTCACGATGGGGTGGGCGATGCGGCACTCCTGCGGGGGAAGCGCCGCGTTACTGCCCGGCCGAGCCCCGGCCCGCGCTCCGCCCCCGCCCGCCGCCCCGCCAACAGCCCCGGCCGGGGCCGCCCCGCCGCACCTTGCACAGCTGCTGGCCCTGGGAGAGCTCCTCGAACGGGTACCGCTGATTGCACTTGGTGCAGGCATAAAGCGCCGGGGCGGCCGCCGCGCCCGCCGCCGCCATCCGGCGGGGCGGACACGGGCGGGCCGAGGGAGGGGAATGGGGAGGTGCCGCCGGGGCGAGGGACGGAGCGGCCGCCGGGGCCGCCGAGGAGGAGGAGGAGCCGCCGCCGCCGCCGTCCCGGTGCCGCTCCCGCCGGTGCCGCCCTGGGCCCCGCGCGCCGCCCGCCCGCGTCCCCCTTGTGTCGGCGGCAGCGGCGTCACCCCGCGCGCGCCCCCCGCCCTTCCCTCCCTCCCTCCGCCCCGGGCCCGGGCTCGCGCTGCGCCCGCGCAGCCAATCGCCGCCCCGCGCCAAACCTGCCTTCGAACGCCGCCGCCCAATCGCCGCCCCCGCCGGCCCCGCCGCCGCCAATCCCGCCGCGGGCGCCCTGCCCTGCGCCGGGCGGCGGCGGCGCCCCTGCTCTGCGATTGGCCGGGGAGCGGGGGCTCCCTCTGACAAAGGCCGGCCTCCTCCTCCCTCCTCCTTCCGCGCGTGCCCACGCGCCGCCCCCCCGCCCGCGCGCCTGCCTTCAGGGGCCCGCCTCCCGCCCGTCCTTCTCGATTGGGCGAGCGGCGCCCTCTCTCTTATTGGGCATCTACTGTGTCATTCAATACCGAGAGGGAGACGGGGCGGGACTTACAGCCGATCCTTCCTTCTCATTGGCAGGCTGGGATAGCAGTCAAGCCAGCCGCCTCGCGGGTGGCGTGCCTTAAAGCGACATGGGCTAGCGCGGGCTCCCGTGCGGCCGACATGGCGACGGCGGAGCGCGGCCATCAGCACACGGTGAGGCTCGGAGAGCGGCCCCGCGGTGGGGGGCGGGACGGGTGGCAGGCTTGTGAAATCCCGGGGGTAGCGGCCCGGCAGTGCGGGGCTGGCGGCTTACCTGCCCCCAGCGTGCTGGGAGCCGTACAGGCTGTGGAAGCTGGCTTGTCTGTTAAGTGATGTATATATGTGTTTTATATGTATATTGCATATATATGTTATATGTATTATATATGCATGCCATGTATATCTACACATGTATATAGGTGTTTATGTGTGCGTATGCACGTATGTGTATGTATATATACTTATGTATATATATATATGTGTGTGTGTATACATCTATGTATATATATATATATGCATAAACTTATGATGCTTTTGCACACGTTTTCTAAAGCGGCAGGAAAAAAAGGTACTCTGCTATTGATAGGAGCCCTCTTGCTGTGCCCATAGCAGTGTCTGGAGATCCTGTTTGTAAGTGAGTGGGAATAAATTGTTGAATTTGGTTTGTTCTCAGCAGTAGCCCGGGGCCGTGACTTTGGAAACACCTGTTCGCGGGCAGCTCAAACCCGCTCTGTGCAGTGCTGGGGCAGCCGGGCGAGCACGGCAGGCCCGGAGGTGCCGGCCACAGCTGGCGGTGGATTCTGCGTCTGGTTGTTCCTCTTTGTCAGATGGAAACGTTCCCTTCAGCTGAGGTTTAGCTTTAGTAGATACCTGTGCCCTTAGGCCTGTGTGGGAGCAGCTGGCGGATTGGGACAGGGAACCACCTCCACGCCGGGGAGCAGAGTTTCCCAAGGCGCGGTGCAGGGGAGCAGCGGGACGCGTGGCACAGCTGGTGACAGGTGACACGAGGAGGGAGCCTGTGCTGAGCTCTGTGCACTGTGGCTGCCTCCACCAGGTCGACACCTCAAACAGATTCCCAGCTGGGGTTCTTGTTTGAAGTTTTGCCGCGATGTTTGTAGCTTCCTGGAATTAGTTGTCTTTTTCGTTTCTTTTCCTTGTTTTGGCTTTTTTTTTCGTCTGAGAAGCTGTGTTTTACCCGTGCTTCGGAGGAGCAGAGATGGTGAAAAGGCTGCAGCATCATGGTCAGAACAAAGTGCGAGACCACTCTTGTGAGGATTTGTAGTTTGGGGTCTCACTTGCCTGGGTGGTGAGCACCCATCGTGGGGTTCTCTCTTGTGAGTCTCTTGCCCTGCAGTGTGCTCCCATGCTTACAGCTGGGCCAGCAAGAGGAATTCGAGGGTTCCTATCTCTTTCCTGACTGGAATTGTTTCTAGCATGCCTGGAGAAGAAGACTTAAAAGAGTCTTCAGTAGGTATATGTAGGTTGTTTAATCAATTTAGTTAGCCAAACAAAACTTTTTTTGGGAAAAAGTTCCCCACTGTAGACTTTCTGTACATATTCAAAAAAAGAAACAAGCCCTGACTTTATATTTTTCTGAACTTTGAAAGTAGTTGCTTTTAATACATCTAGCACTCTATGGCAGATAGCTGACAAAAATTACTGTATTGTGCCAACATTTTTTTCTCCCACTTTGATGTAATTGCTTAACTAAGTTACCTTTTTTTTATGTCTGCTTTTAACTAGAGATGTTATTGAATTGTAGAGTGCTCTTGACTCAGTCTATATCAGGGAGGCACAGCCAGCACTTGGCCTGTGGGTGATAGGGGCTGTCCTTCCTTCCCCACTTTCCTAATACTGCAGTAATGAGGGAGGGAAGGCTCCTAATGGAGATTGTCCCTCCAAAATGGCTATGAAAGTTTGAATAACTGGGTACCTGGATACCTTATAATCACTACATTCAGTATCTCATTATTTTGGATTTTTTTTCCTCATTCCCTATATAATTTTCCTGAGCTTACTTTTTTTCTACTTTTTTTTTTTAAATGAAGTGCAAAGACTTCTGTGTGTCACTTAAAACATTACCAGGTATCAGTGTTTTTTTCTTTCTTTTCTGGTTGTGAGCAGCCGGATGAGAACTTGTAATAGCACCCATTCTAATTTAATCCCTTTTTAAAAAAACCTTCTGTGTGAGTTTGTGCGTTTTTTTTCCCTGCTCTGTACAGCCTTTAGGAGGTCCCTGCTTGTTGGTAATGTGTTATCCCTGGTCTGTGTTTTTAACATTCCCTTTTGTATGCTTGAGTAGGCAGCTGATACGCAGTGGTGAAAGCTGTGAATTTTGGAAGGCAGTGTTCTCAGACCCGTGGAGATAAAATGTGCTCAGCTCACTGTTATGTAACAGGTTGCACTTGCCTCCTTGTGGGACTGTTAAGCTTCTTCATGTACTGCTCCGAGGCTTTAGTGCGGCTTACAGAAGGAAGGACTATGAGGAGTACCCTGAAGGAGAGGAGATGCAGCAAGCATGACCTAGCTGAGATGCAGAACAAATATATAGAGTTCCCTGATTTTTTTTATTTTTCACAAATTTCCTGAGCATCAGAACATGATATTCTCTGTGAGACTTTCCAAGAGCAGGAACAAACTTAAATGATTTTTAATGACTTGAGAGCTAGGGAAGAAGAGCAGAGAATTGCTGTGATTTTTGAACTTTATGATGGGAAATTCCTTGATCCTGTTTCATAAACTTTCCCAATGCATTCAAATTATTTCAAGTCACTACTTATGAAACTGAATACAAGCCACTCTTTTGCTTAAAAATAGGTAAGAAAAATATATATGATAGCAAATTATTACTTAAACTGACAAAAGATCGATTGCCTGTGTAATAGATGCTATACCAGCACAATATTTTTCAGTAGTTATTTGAAGCAGGTATCTGTACTGACTATTACACTATTCAAATTAGTATAACTAACTATTCAAATTAATGCCTATTCCCTGAATCCAGGTGGAATTTAGAAGATGTGTAACTAGTCAAAAGCCTCAATTTGCTTTGCTTCTTGTGACTTTGGTGCTCCAGGGTTTTGAGTACACCAGCCTTTTCTTTCAGTTAGTCTGCTATTAGCTAGAAGAATGTTACTAATGTCAGTAAAAACAAACAGAAGAATTCCTTTACTTTGGTGTTTTTATGCAGTTACATTTAATTCTCAGATGAGGCTTTACCTGTAAAGACATAAAAGATGAGAGTGACATCTAGAAGGATTGTGATGCTGTCAGCCCTACTTCAGTTTCAAACTGATTCCCCTTTTTCTTTTGACTTTCATGGGGTACCTCTGGTTTGAATCATAGCAGACAGGATATTGATATTTGAATCAGTAGTTACTGGTTGGGTTATTATTATTTGAGGCTTGTGTTGCTGCTGTTCCTGAACTGCCTGCTGCAGAAGTGCTGTGTTTCGCTTGGCTCATTTTTACTCCATCATTTGTTTTCAGTATTCTATGCTCATCAATGCCATATCCTGTGAAACTGATGGTATTTTTGATGTTAGCACCTAATAGGCTTTTGATCAGATGGATTCTTATGTTCTGGTTAGGCTTGTGAGGCTGCTGAGTGTAAAACAGTGTGTTTATGCATAAAACACCTGTTCGAAATAATTTTATTAAAATACTCTTAATTAGGGATTCTTTTTCTGTGGTAGCAAATGCGTATGCAAGTGCAGTTATTTTGAGAAAAGCCATTATGTTCTGTAGGAGAATGTTATAAAGGCAGACTGCAAAGCAGTCATCAAACTGTGCTTAGAAACACCAGTTGATACATTCAGAGTAGTTAGGATCCTAATTTTCTTGCCCACAATGAATCACTTTATTAATAAGAGGAAATCAGTTGTATATGGGCTTTAAATAACTTTAAAAAATTCTTAAATTTTTTTCCCCATATTTGGCTCCTTGTAATGGATTATGGGCTGTTGTGTAATTTGCTATGAGATACTTAATACTTTGTGTATTTTAATTTTGGTCATGATATGCTCCCAATGACTGGTATTTGCAAAAGCATAAAAACACCCTGCCAAGATCAGCAATTGCTCATTTGACTTACTGATGAAGGGGAAAGCTGTAGGAGTTTTGCATCTGCCTGCAGCCCATCTCTCTTAGGTTGCCTTCAGATTCTGTCACTGAAATGTTTAGTAATGTGTGCAGTTAAGAGAAGTTAAAAATAAACACTTCATTTAACACATATATACAGGTTGTAAAGCTTAGGCCAGGTAGAGAGGTTTTTGGGTTGAAACCATAAACACTGTGTTCTGCCAAGGCTCCTTTATTTAGAGGAGCATCTTCCCAGCAAGGTGGTCCTTTCGTGTCATTGCAACATCCGAAGCACAGCAGGTGTTTGCAAAATTTGTGCAGGCTTCTGGGAAATCCCTGATGTCTATAGCCTTATTTTTCAGAGCGGTCTGAAGCTGATTTAAGAGCATGTTTCTGCTTAGAGGGAGAAGTACTTTCCTGGCTGATCTGCTGGTTTTCCTGTGTTGACACCACTAATCAGGTGTAGCATAAAGTTACCTGGATATGTCTTGTGAAGTTCTACTTCTCCATCTACTAATGGAAAGATATGGAGGATGAATTGAAGCGAGTGGAGTTAGAGGGATTGGGACTCTCACCTCACCTTCCCAGCTGCAGTGTATCCTGTGCCCCATGTGCAGTAAGTGAGCTCTCGTGTTAGAGCGGGGATGTGGAACCACGGTTCTGGGTGTGCCTTATCAGGTTTTGCCACCGTAGTGCAGTGTCTTGTGCAGTAAATATAGCCAGTAATTAAGAAGGTGGTTGTTTTTCAACTGATTTGTGGGTTGCCTTCTCCCAGTAAGTAGTAGACAGTACAAGTAAATGGAAAGCAAAAGTGTAGATCAGAAACTACTATGGGAAAGACATTCTTCTGTTTGCTACTGTTTTTAGTGGAGGGGGAGTTGGATGTAAAAATGACACATCCTAAGGCTATAAAGAAGGAAACTTTGGAGATATGAGTTTCCTGTAGCAGTACTTCTACACATCATCTGATAGAATCTTACTTTTCTTTATTTTTCTTTTTATGACAAAGAAACAAATGTGCTGAATAACAGTTTTGTTTTGTTTTCAGGATGATCTGCACAAAACTCTTAACTCTACATCAGCCACAGATGGACTTTCTTCGGCTTCATTTATAGAATATCCAAAGCACAAGCCTTTTATTAATTCAGATTTGCAGTGTTCCCCATGGAAACCAGTAATTCCATATCCTGAAAGCAACAGCAGAGGTAATAGTTCAGCAAAGTTATTTTCTTACGTGTTTCCAAATTGTGGTAAAATACTTCCACATTTAAGAAGGTTGCAGTCTTTTTATCCTTATATCGAATCCCAGTGATGTCCAGCTCACCTGTTTTGTAGGTCCTTGGCACTTCTCTTTCCAAAGAGCACCTGAAGATAAAAGCCATCTTACAGATGGAGAAAGATGCTCCTCTTCGGTAGTAGAGAATTGTAAAATTGTCTGAGTACTTTGTGAAATTGTACTGACATGTTTTCTTTGTCCCTTCTTCAGTCTTCCTCTCCTTCAGCCTTTCCCCTCCTGAGTTTATAGCCGACTTAGAAATAAGGAGACTTTAGTCCCCAGAATGGTTTGGAGCAAAGGAGGAGGTTTGGTCCTGTTAAAATTGGAAGGCTTGTCATGGATGAAGGGTGTGTTGTATTTATTTTATCAGTGAAGACTTAAGGGATATAGGGAAGGTTTCAGCAAAGTGCTGAACTGAGAACTCACAACACCAAAAAGGAAGGCAGTTTTAATCCCATTTATTCTTCTTGTTTCTAGGCTGTTCCTTCTCCCTCCTTTCCCACTCTGGTCCTGATGTTCATCTCTATGTAAACAGATTGATCTTGTATGACTGGACATGAACAAAAAATCTATTCTTGGTTAGTTTTCTGTTGTTTTAGTGAATTAGCTTGTTGTGTAGTGAGACTTACTCCAGAGCTGCCTTGGGGTACATATAGGTTGCATCATGAGGAGTTGGGAGGCCAGAGCAGGACCGATCCTTTTAAGAGCTGTTTGGCTCAGGGTCACTGCAGAAATGCTCCCTTTAAGACTGGAGTGTTACAGAGGCTTAAGGGTATGAACTACTTGATATTTTTTCCTTATATGGAGAAAAGTGAGAAATGTTTAGGATGAATCCTAATATTACCCAAACTAAGTAAAAAATCAGGATGATAGCCTCAAGTCCCTGTTCCAATAACACAATTAATATCTGAGTTACTAGGGTCTTGTGTGTTAATGACCTAAAAGATGAAATCTCAGTTCTTGCAGTGCTATTTAAAATGCAGTATGTACTCTCAAGGCCATCGGTTTTGAGAGTGCTGTTGACACAAAACTAAAACAATCTTTACAGATGAAGAATTGCATGTGCAGGAAGGAGCTTCCTTATGAATTACTGATGCAAATGTATTTTTCTGGAGTGTGCTTCATGTTTCATTAGCAATAAAGTTTTGATTTCCAAGTTTTCACTTGGCAATTTTTTTTCTAATGGCGACTCTGCCAACTCTGAAATAAGGATGGCTGGTGGAAGACAGTCGAATAAATTATACCCCTTTCTAAAAACTATCAAATGTTTTTATTTTCAAAAAATGTTTAAATGATGTGCAAATGTATGTGATTATGTACTGAAAATTGAATCCAACACATGGATGATCCAGTATGCTTCTTTTTTTGCATAGCTTTTAAAAATGCAAAAATGTTCTGGAGTCTATATTTTAGTAAATTTAAGGATATGAGAATTAATTTTAAATAGCAAAATTGATTTGATTGTTCTTGAGGGTCCTTATTGCTCCTCCCATTCCCCATATGAAATAAATCTTATTGAAAAATGCTGAAATTGAGTATAGTAAAATCTGTTTATTGTGGGTTTAATGTCTTTGCGTGGTATATGTGTGCTAGCATGTACAGTTGGCTTTTAATGCTAACAGGAATGACTGAATTATACTTGGCCTGTTGGGTTTCACCTTTGTTCACTCCTTGAGTTGCTTCACTGCTGTTCTTGTTAGTCCTTATTGTGTGCATATACAGAGATTTCAATGTAGCTTTTAACAATAATAGTAACAAATCTGTTTATTGTTTCAGCTATGCCCATTTCAGCTGAATCCTAGGAACAGTAATGTAAATAGAGGGTGCAATTTGCGATACTGATATCGCAAATAGGACCAAATTATCAATAACTTCCTGTTAACTGTTACTGCTGTTGCTGTTTCTTATGTACATAGCAGGTTTGCATTGATGTAATACTCTCCTGTGCTGTTATTAATTTCAAGATTTGATGAATTTTTATTCTGGAATGGGTTTAAGCACAAAGGAGTGGGCTAATGTGACCTTGCAGATTAGTCTGCTATTTGAGCTGTGTGTACAGGTGTTCTTACATCTAACTTCAGCAGCACTGTATAGGGGAAAGGGCTTATGGTTATGGTTCCCTTCACAGAATTAAACGGCTCAGCTAAGAGATGTAATACATCAGATTACCAGCAGATGGTCTGATTGCAAGGTGATGTGAGTTCTATTACAACTGCTTTTCTTTTTGTGGTGAAGAATATAGAAAGGCTTTGTTCAGTAACTGCTAAAGCTAGGAATGCAGCTGAAGGGGAAAATGGTTCAGCACAAAGGAGATGTATGTTTTTAGATGGAGGAGTGGAACACAAGTACAGAACCAATAGAATAAAAAAGAAGTCCACTTGTAAATAAGCACATATATAGCTCTTCTCAGAGTTAACCTTTACTATGCTCTATGGCCATTTGTGGGAACATTGTGTTGTGTACTTGTAGGAATAATACTAATATGGCAAATTGGCACTGTTTTAACTATCTAGTGATGAGTCTTCATTTCCTTTTCATAAAGGGTCAGAGGATGCACTGTTTGTTCTTAATCAACACAATATTTATAGGCCTTGTTCTGGGAAATAGTTGTATCTTGCCCAAAGGTGTCAGGTGAAGAGTGTGCACTAAGGGCATCTCTTTGTTTGAGATTAGTTTTAGAATCAGTTATGGTTTAAAGGGAAACAGGTCTTAATTCCTGGAAGGACTGTTGGATGCTGGTACGGAACACTCTGACCTTCTTACATAACATGCTTTTATAATAACATTTCAAGTTCAGTGTTGTCTTGAAGTGGTGATTTAATGGTATCTAACAAAAGGTGCTTGTTCAATTGCAGCAATATTTTCTGCTCTGAAGAATCTCCAGGAAAAAATTCATCGACTGGAGTTGGAACGGTTTCAGGCAGAGGAAAATGTAAAACACCTCAGCAGGGAAACAGCAGACTATAAAAAAGTACTGACTGAACAAATGCAACAGGAAGAGCATGACAAGACTGAAGTGTCAAAGAAAAATCAAGGTTGTTTGCAAACCATCTATAAATACTATAGAATATTGATGTGGATGAAACTCGATTCCTATCAATGCATAGACCAATTTTAACTTACTTTGTTAAGCATCTTTTAATTTGTAATGGCATGGGGTGCTACAAAGAAATGATTTTAAGGTATTCTTCATTTTAGGGATGTTTATGCATACAAAAGTTCATTAGGCATAATACGTCAGTTTCTTACATAGGTCCTTTTCTTGTTTGCTTTGAAACTGTCCTGAAAACAACAACCAAAAAAAAAAACCGAAACAAAAAAACCCAACAAAATCCCAGGAACAAGTAATGCATGATATCTACTTTTTGCCTTCTGTTATCTTCAGAATTGTCTTCTCAGCTGGCAGCTGCTGTGTCTCGATGCAGCCTTCTAGAGAAACAGCTGGACTACATGAGAAAAATGATCCAGCATGCAGAAAATGAGAAGTCGCATCTCTTGGAGAAACAGGTGTGTTCCCAAAACTATCTTATGGTTAAATCATAAAAGTCATTAATTATGTCATGATTTTTCATAGTTAGTTTTCATAGTGTCATTTTAATACTTTTAAGTATGGATGTCTACTTCAGCTGGATGGTGTATACTTAGCTATGGATAGCTTCCCTACTTAAATTTCCCAGTCTTCTCACAAACCTGGTATTTTTTTGGTGCACCTGTTTCTAAGGCAGTAGCAGGCTCTGGTATTAATATGAATTGTTTGCTTCTGCATGATTGGCTTACTGCAGTAGCTCATCCTTATCTTCCAGTGTTATACCTGTGTACCACTGGGAAAAAACCTCCCTTTTGTGTTTACAGTCTTCAGGTCCTTGATAATTTTCTTTACTAGCACTACTCTTGCTAGTAAGAGCAAGAGGGCTAAAATACTGTTTCTGTAGAAAGAGCAGTAAAATTTCTATTTCCCACCATCAGTGACTGGGATTTGGCCTAATCTAAAATGAACTTGAATTTTTTTTTATAGGCATATGGGTTGTCTGGAGCTGTTTGTTCATTGGTCTCTGTGGCTATTCTGTTTCAGTCTGTTAAATATTTACTGAAAAAAAAAATCAATAAAGCTATTTCTAATTTCTGCTTTTTTTTATTTTTTTCTGTGTTGTGCTGGGAGGAAGGAGAAGACTGCACAGTCCTCTTTCAGATCTGGTTAAATGTGTGGTTTCCCTATGTTGGTGGACCAGTGGTGCAGTTTGTTCCCTAATTGTGGTAGCATCTAAAATTGCACAGAGGAAGTCATAGTTCCTTTGGTCCCTTTTGTTTATGGGCCTCCTTTGTGCTCCAGACGCAGGTTTTACAATAGATGGTCTTGTTTTCTTGTGTTTATAATTATTTTCCTTTTCACCTCTCCCTTCAAGGGCTCCTTGGAGAGAGATCGGCTTCTTGACCAGTCTCATGTTCAGTCGAAATTGGAAAAGCTGGATATACTGGAAAAAGAGTATAGCAGACTAACTATGATGCAGTCCATAGCAGAGGTCTGTCATTTGTCTTGGATACTGTATCCGATTTGTCTTGTTTATTGTAAACTGCACTTTATAGCTGTATGGCAGTAGCAGAGCTTTGCAAAACTTTGTGCTTTAGAGTAAGACAGCAACTAAACTTCATTTTAAACTGAGGTGTTGTGAAAACTGGAAGTTATTACTGAAAGTCTACATGTCCAGGTAGGCTTTGGGTCACTGTACAGTGCAGGAGTTGGAGTTTTATTATGCCTTAACAGTTTATTATGCTAACAGTTATTTTCTGTTAGTATCCAGATTTATCTGGACTTGTATGAATTTGATGTATTTTTTTCCTTTTAGCCTTCCTTATTAAGAAAGATAATTATTACTAGTTATTTTGTGTACAGACTTCTGGAGCTTTGTGTTGCAAGGCCTCTAGCACTGGGTGACTCCCTGTGGGTTTCTGCCTTTTCAGGACTCTATTTGAATTGGACTTCTACAAACTCAACGTGACTGTGTTTTGTCATATTCTGTTGTGGTGGGTTCACCCTTGCATTTTTATAATTTTTGTAATTTTATGGTGAGAAATTAAACTCAGTCTCAGCATGGGCTGCAAGGGGAATCTCTGCTCTGGCATCTGGAATATCTCCTCCTCTTCCCTTGTTGACCTTAGGGTCTGCAAGGCTTCTGCTTTCAAATATTGTCACTCCTCACTTCTGGCTGCAGTTCCCCAGCAGTTTTTTTCCCCTCCTTAAGTCTGTAATCCCAGAGGTGCTTCCACCATTGCTGTTGTGCTCAGCCTTGGCCAGTGGTGAGTCTGTCTTGGAGCCAGCTAGCATTGGCTCCATTGACATTGGTTCTGTTGCCATGGGGAAGTTTCTGGCAGCTCCTCAGAGAAGCCACCCCTGTAGCCCCATGGCTACCAGTGCCTTAAACCCCATACATCTGTGTACCCACTGATGTCCCATCCACATACCTCTCTCTGCTGCTGTAAGAGAGACCACAAGTCTCCCAAGCCTGGAAACTGCAGAGAGCTTAACCAGGGAGAGAATTCCTTCTGTGAATTTCTTTCCTGTTCCCCCAAAAAGACCAGATAGTACATGATTATATTGTGGTATTGTGGATGACAACTCTGGATTCTATCAAAATACAGGCTTGTCACCCTACTTACCACCTCTTACCTCAAGTGGTGAAGTCGATGGTGTTTCTCCAGAAGTACATAAGGAGATGTTTGGTAGTAAATCTTTAGTGCTTGGCTTGCTGCAGGACATTTAACTGCTACAACTATTATTGGGAGTCCCTGAGCCAAAGCAGCTGTAACAAGCTTTTTAAGATCTTGACACCTTGTTGTGGTGAGCTGCAGTTGTGGAGTACAAGTGGTTGCATTGTTTACTTAGGCCAAACACTTGGAAGGAGAAATAGGAGTCTCCTGGGTCTTGTACTCTGAAAGTAGCAGTAGTTTCCTTGGGTTAGACTTGAAATAACCTGTTCAGCAATTGGCATTCCCTCTGAAAGGCTTTTACCAAGTTTTTCACTCGTAGTAGCTGAAGTTTGGTGAGACTGGGTTGTTTGCCTTTTTGTGCCTGGCTAGTGAAAACAATTTCAGCCTTATGGTTCTTTTGTGTTCTTTTCTGGATCAAACCAGAGGCCTTTGATTCTTTAGGATTTAGTAGCTGTCACAATTAAATATGTTTTGGAGGAATTGGGTGTTAAATTCACACAGTTTTGAAGCAATTGTAGGACCTGAAATAAATCTGGATTTAGCTATGATAAGTCATTTTCCTTATGATCAGTATGTAGTCATGAGCCATTTTCTGGCTGACAGGTCTGCTTGACTCTGTGGCTATAGGCTATGTTCCTATGTGAGCATTTATATGATAGGTGTTACTGCAATATCTTCAAAGAGTGACTGCACTCTACTCAGAAGCATTGCATCTGTTCCCTCTTTGATCTCTGCTGTAGTTGTGGTGAGATTGTAGGAACATTTTCGAGTTGAATTTGAAGCAAGAAATAAGAGACTGCTTCGTACATGATGTGCTGAAATGGATGGAAAGTGGTGAGGTGATGGCTCATGAGTGAGCAGTGATGTATCTATCTGCCTCTGAGTTCAGACACTGACAGAGCTCAAGTTGCGTGTGGGTCTTACTGAGAGCATTTAATCTCCCCAGAGCCACTAATTGGCCCTATAATTACTGTCTTCAAGTAATTTGCTAATGTCAGGAGTGGCTGTGAAAAAGAAATGCTGAGATTCCTATTTATGTGGAGCACTTACCCTTTGGAAGTGCTTTGGAGGCATCTTTATTTCAACTGTAGGCCTGCAGTGCATTCTCTGTTCAGTTAACTGAGAAGATCTGAACATGTCTGTGTCTGAAGATGGAGTACAGAAACATGGCTGTTCCCTAAAAGTGCAGTTTAGGCTGTGGTCTTCTGTTTAGCCAGGTGACCAGAATTTGAATATGTGTGTGGATGACATTTTCAACAACTGTAGTTGGTAGTAATTGATCTTAATGCTAACCGTGATACTTAAAACCACCCCCCAGTTCTGTGGGTTGGGCAAAACACTGGAACAGATTGTCCACAGAGGTGGGAGATGCCCTGTTCCTGGAAACATTCAAGATGGGTTTGGACAAGGCTCTGAGCAATCACCTGGTTTAGTGGAAAGTATCCCTTGGACTTAGGTGACCTTTTAAAGGTCCCTTTCAGCTTAAACCATCCTGTGAGTCTGAGATTCTATGACTAGGTGGTTGCATGAAATTAATTTTCTGATAAAAAAAGAGGTCAAAAATATTACAATTAAATATTTTATTTCTAATTTGTCGTTAAAGTTTTTTGCAGCAGCTCCTGGTGATGGAGTGGATGTTCAGGCAGCCCGGTGTTGACCTGCAGTTGGCTTGCTGCAGCTTGCAGTGCTGTCTTACATGATGGGCAGCACTGCTGGCCAGGGTCTCTTGGCTTGGCTTTGTGGCCTCTCTGTTAGGGACAATCCAGTAATATGCATAATACCTTCTTCTATAAAAAAGAAAAAAGAAATTATTTAGGGAAGCTAGGTTGGGAAAATAATTTCTAACAGGGTCTGTCACAGATGCTACAGTAAGATATATTCTTGCTGTATAGTTTGAGCTGCATGCTGCAGCAGAAAAGGTAGCTGAGGGAATCCTCATTCATTTTAGAATAAAAGCCTTGGCCCGGCTCCATGTCAATCTTTAGTTTAAACAGAATATTTTCCTCAATATTTTCATACTAAAAATTCTGTCAGACTTAAGAGGTTAATAAAAGATCCTTGAGACTGACCACATGGATATCAAGAGTTGCATCAATAACTGTAAAGGGCAGAAGATGATTTTAAGTAACTTGGAATGCCTTTGTTTTGAATGAAAAAAAAAATCATCAGAATGATTCTTTCATTCAAAAGAAAAAGTTGGTTCCTTTATTATAGTGCCTTTGTCCCCAGTGTTTATCCAGGCTTTGGCCTTTCAACACCTTTGCATAACAGCTGCTTCCATTATTCTTGCAGTTAATGCTTAAGTAAAGCAGAACTAAAATATTTATTACTTCAATGTAGTGGGTTTATAAACAAGCAAGTGTACAAATACAGCTGTCACTCTGTATAGCATGCTTTTCTGCCTTAAGTTTGATTAGTGTCTCTATAAATTATCAGTCTTTGGGGGAAGAGAAGGGAAATTGTTTTGGTTACTGGAGCTCTGAATTATTTTTTCACTGCTGTATAAATCCAGAAAGTTATTTGATAACTTCCGCATTGGGAATTTCAGTGTATCTTGTTTAAACAATGTTTTCATCTTGTTGGAGGTTTGCAAAGAGATGTGTTTTTTTCTTTTCTTTTGAAAAAGAGTTTCAAAAGTGTTCTTACATGCTTTTGTGATAAGAAGATGAAATGACTTCAGTTTTATTTAAAGGTATCTCAGGGGCATCATACAGCCTTTCCTCCCTCTTCTTTATTAGGAAGGTGGCTAGATGTTCAAAAATTCTTTCCTTGTAAGAGTGTAAGTTACAGGTTTTAGCAAAAATACCATTAGTGGTTTAAATAAAGCAAGTCTTCACTTGCACTACAATGACGTGTCTTTGTTAGCTCTTTTGTAGTACAGAATCTTGGAGGAGAATGTACACAAAGCAACCTACTGTCTCGGGTGTTTTTACAATTGAAGAGAAAGCCCTGTGTATTGCTCTGTGTGTGTTTGGCTGTGACTTAACTTCAGATACCAGTTGTGAAAGTAAGAATAGAAAATTCAGTTTAAATGTTAAGCATAAGCTTTTGACTGCTGTATTTATGCCTATACAGGTGAAGCATCAGCAATCATTCTAATACTCAAGTCTTCATTTATCCTTAAGTTGTAAAATGAACTCAGTTTTGTGCAAGCTCTTAGTATTGTAGGCATCAGGAGGAAAAAAGAATATTTTGTTAGTAATGCTATTATTTTTGTTCAACTTCGACTAGAAAAAAATGAAAGAGCTGGAACAGAAGCTTCATGAGGAAGAACATGCAAGGAAGCTTGTTCAGGAAAAAGCAGCTGAGGTAACCAACAGGAAATTTATTTTGTACTGGTATGCATTGTAATTAGCTCTTCCTTTTTATCAAATTTTCAGCTAAGCTTACTGAAAATGCCCCCATGTGCCTCACAGAATAGTGAAATCCTGGTTTTAGTCTTTTTTTTTTTTTCTTTTTTGTTTCTCCTCCTGCCTGAGGTACCAAATGTTCTGAAGTTCTCTGAGCTTTTTGGAAACTTTCTTCTATCACCACATGTGCATTGAAGCTTTGATTTCTTTACTAGAAGTTGGAAAAGAGGAGTAGCAATTCAGACTAATCCATAATTGAGTATGCATGGGAACCTCTCAATATATCAAAGTCAACGAATGGGCTCCCTTATTCATAATCATAATTAAAATATTGTAGAAGGAAGCAAAAAAGAGGCAACATGCTCTTAATTATGAGCCCTTAAGGATGCTGGCTGGTCCTCTAACCTGAAAGTGTGGTGTTCATTAAGCATTCATTGTATGCTGGAGAATTATAGAGGTAATGTGTTAGGCTCTAACACTAACCTTTGCCATGAATTTGGTGTGATGGGGAAAGTGGTGTCTCTAATAATCAAATTAATAATGAAAATAATAATGAAAAATTGTGCTGTGAATGCTACTTCAGGACATGATTTCTAAAGCCATGCCATATATTCCTCTTGAACAGCAAAGTGTGTTAGGATTCTCACTGTTGACAGGAAGTTCTGACCTTAGCTCTTTCAATAGATGGCTTGGTGGTTAGTTTTTTATTGTGGTTGGTTGGTTGGCTGTAGGTTTTTTTACTGTCAAATTCAATAGAACAGAAGGAGTAGTTGCCTGGTAACTCTATGTCATGGGATCAATTGATCATGGTTGGGTGGCTTTATCTCCCCAGTACCTTGCCAAGTGTAAAGCACAGCTGATGTTTTGGCACTTGCCTGCATGGGACAAATGGACTAAGGCTAATTCTCTAATTTACTAGGATTACTGATGAGTAATGCTAACAGAGGAAGTATTTAATGTTTAAGTTGACCTTGGACTGCAAAAATACCCTAAAAATTTACAGCCCTTGCTTCTGGAGAGCCTGTGTTTTAAAAATTCTTGCAGTTCTCCACTTGTACTGTCTGACTATTTATTAATATAATTTCAGTAACTCCCCGTATTCCCTCAATTGTAGCTTCAGACAGGCCTGGAAACTAACAGACTACTGATTCAAGCAGCATCACCACTGCTTTCTCCAAAAGCAAGACAACCCAGGAAAAAAGCTAAGCAGCCAGAAAAGGTAAGATGTGGGGAAGAGAAGGGCAGTTACTGAGAAGTTAAGTAAGGTTGTGTGCATGTGATTAGGGAGCAGGTTTCCCCTTTTACTACAAAGTAAAGGGAAAGTGGGTTTGCTGTAGTATAATTTTTGCTGAATACTTGTCTCTTCTTTCTTTCCAGAAATGCTCTCGTGTAAGACATCCTACTGTGCAGCCCCATTACAGATTGTGTCTGGGTGATGTACCCTTTGTGGCTGGGAAGGTGAGCTGATTAATTCCAAGGCTTAGAGCTCAGTAGCTGCAGCTCCTTAAGGGACTTTGTCTTGGTGCACTCCTGACACCCAGTGGTCAGATAATTTAATTTTCTTCAACACTTTTCATACAGACTGTCTTTGAAATATTTGTTGGTGCATATTGACAACTAGCTGAGTTAGTATTTCCAAAAATGGGCCTGTACTATGCTGCTTGACAAGATGTTCTTGTTAGAGCATATTAATTCAAACAAAAATTACATTCTTGTCAGCAAAACAAAAGTGGCACTGTTTTTAAATGCTCTTCAGTATTATTGAGTTGTTGATAATGCCATTTAAAAGAAGTCTCTTTTCCTTTCAGTCTACCAGTCCCAGTCATTCAGTTGCTGCCAATGTGCAACACGTGCTACACCTGATGAAACATCACACAAAAGCTTTGTGCAACAGACATGTGGTAAACGATACTCCACTAGCAAAACCCACCAGTATTGGCCATCCTGCCAGCAAAAGCAGAAGGCCACCCCTGCCAATGGACTCATCCTCATCTCAGGAAGAACTCTCAGAAGTGTTGCTGACTTTACAAGATGAATTTGGACAGATGAGTTTGTGAGTGTGGTATATTTTCTTCTGCAGATTATGAATGCAGCTGTTTCAAAGCCTTGTTGCTTTGAACTTGAGAAAGTTCTTAGTTTAGGAAATCTCTAGAATGTAATCTTTGTCTTCCTGACTGCAGAGGCTGTCAGTTTTCCTTACAGTTAGAGGCTCTGCTAAACAGTCTGAACACCAGACCTGTGCTTATGTGCAGCAGTATTAATTTCAGAAGAGGTAAGGGAGAAGTGTGGTCATGGCCCCAGTGCAGTGAACTGTTGTGGTGTGGACCCAGCCAGCACAGGACCCTGCTGCCATTCACACATCCCTGCACCCATCCTTCCCCCATGTTGGGATGGGCAGTATTCACCCCTTCTACTGTACCATTTATGTCCTGCCCAAGCCCCACACTTTCCAATGTGTCCCAGTTAACCACCATCACCTTTCCAATCTTTTGATGTAGGTACACACAAAATATAATTCCTGTAGTCTAAGGACTATCCCATTACTAGTCCATTGAGTTAATTTAGTCCATGACTTTAGACTCAGCTGTCATAACAGTCTTCCTGTGCAAGAAGAACTGGTGGGTGGATAGCTGAATGGCTGAAGTGACTTGGGGATGTGGGTGGATGAGAAGCTGGACATGAGCCAGCCATGTGCACTCCCAGCTCAGAAAGCCAATCCTGTCCTGGGCTGCATCCAGAGCAGCGTGGGCAGCAGGGCCAGGGAGGGGATTCTGCCCCTCTGCTCTGCTAAGACCCCACCTGTAGGGCTGTGTCCAGCTCTGGGGTCCCAACATAAGGATATGGGCCTTCTTGAGTGAGTCCAGAGGAGGCCAACAAGGACAATCAGAGGGCTGGAGCACCTCTCCTTTGAAGACAGGCTGAGAGTGGGGGCTGTTCAGCTTGGAGAAGAGAAGGCTGCAGGGAGACCTCATTGTGGCCTTTCAGGGCTCAAAGGAGGCTACAAGAGAGCTGCAGAGGGGCTTTCTACAAGGGTGTGTAATGTTTGCATGAGGGGTAATGACTTTAAACTGAGAGAGGGCAGACCTAGATTAGATATGAGGAAGAAATACTTTACTGTGAGGATGGTGAGGCACTGGAACAGGTTACCCAGGGAAGGTGTGGATGCCCATTCCTGGAAACATTCAAGGCCAGGTTGGATGAGACTTTAAAAGGTCCCTGCCTATGGTAGGGAGTTTGGAACTCAATGATTTTTAAGGTCCCTTCCAACCCAAATAATTCAATCATTCTTGTTCTTTGACCTTCAGCAGCCCCACACAGGAAGGGTCGTCTGAGAGGCAAGGCAGGGTAGACAGATATTTCATTTCCTTTGTCTCCAAGGCAGCTGTGTGGAAAGCCCACCAGTAGCCTTTTGAGTCCTTAAAATGCCCTTGCCTGAGACAGTCTGTGCCAAGGGTGCACAGAGCCTCTGGGCCACTCCCAGTGGGGTGCTTTTGTCAGTCATTTTGTCAGGCTGGTTTCAGCCTCCAAGACCATCAGCTATTGGGATGCCCCTGTGTCCTGGCATCACTTCAGAAATATAAATGGGTTCTGCCCCTGTACAACTTGATGGCATTAGGGTACACCACTGTAAACCAGGGTCTGCTGAAGCTTTGTTCTCCCAGGGGCCAATGTGCCCAGGCCATCTGATCCACACAGTCCAGTAAACCTGATTGTCCCTCTCCTGCACCTGGCTGAAGACAGGGCTCCTCTAATATTGGTCCTAGGATTTTCCATTTTCTGTAAATAATAATTAGAATTCCTTTCCATAGGAGCAGGAATAAGATCAGCCCTGACACTCTGTCTGAGAACTGCCCACTAAAGACTTTAGCAGCAACTTCCCTGGAAGAATTCCTATTTGTGCTTGCTTTTTTCCTACAACTCACTTACCTGTGCCTCTAGGGTTGAGGTGTAGGTTTTCCATCCCACTTCACGTTCTCCCTGTGGTCCCATAGGTGAAACTCGGGATTTCCTGTGGTGTGTACCCTCTATAACCTTTCTTTTGTGCAGAAGGTAGCTTACTCTTTTGTGGTTTCACCAGCACCTCAGTCCCACGCAGCTGCTTGCTCACTGCCCCCTGACACAAATCCTCCCCTGACCCGAACCCCATTCAGCACCACGCTGGATCCCAGCACTGGGACCACGCTGGTTTTAACTCCCGTGGGATATTGCGGGTTCTCAAAGGCTATTGTAACCGGCCTGGAGAAGAAGGGGGAGCTGTGTACGTGCTCGCTAGGCTGGCTGGCCGAGCAGGGAAGGAGAAAGGTGTAATTACAGCGGTTCCCCAGTAGATGGCTCCCGCAGCGCGCGGAGGACACCCGTTCCCCCCAGGAATTTCATGGCCAGGGAATCCGTGGCAACATAAACCAGCGTTGCGACCCGCCATTAAACCAGTACAATGATGCCTAGAAAAAATTTGTCTTCACACGCTCTGGCCAGACCTGTCATTAATCCCTCACGGCACGTTGGGTGCCAAAAAATCCTGTCTTGATTTAACCCCAGCTGGCAGCTCAGTACTGTGCAGCTGCTTTCCTGCCCCTCTGCTCTGGTGGGATGGGGAGGGAAATCGGGAAAAGGAAAAACCCATGGGCTGGAACAAGGACAGGTTAGTAACATAAATAAAGTAAAATGTAATGAAAAAGGGAGAGAAATAAAATCCAAGCATGTGATGCGCAGTACAGTTTTTCACCAGCTGCTGACCAAGGCCTGTCCCCAGCAGTAATTGTCTCCTCATGGCTGACTCCCCCTAGTTTATATACTGGGCATGATGTTCTATGGTATGGAATATCCCTTTGGCTGGTTTGAGTCAGCTATCCCAAATATATCCCTGTCCCAGTTTCTTGTGCCCCTGCTCACTAGCATAGCAGGAGTCACTGAAAAACCCTTGGCTTAGGGTAAGTACTGCTCAGCAACAATGAAAACATCAGTGTTATCAACATTATTTTTGTACTGAATCCAAAATGCAGCAATGTAACAGCTTCTAAAAATGAAAACTATCCTAGTCAAAAGCAGGATGTGGACAAATCCTGGACAAGTCCATTAAAGGACAGCTTTGCTTGTCCTGGTTAACAGAACATGAATTGTTACTGTACTGCACAGCTGCAGTAAGTACAGATACACAAAATATTAACTGAATGAGTTCTGAGATTAAGCTCTCAAGGGGTTATTTGGTCATTTTGAATATGCATTTTGAAGTTGGAAGCTACTTAGATTATTGAGCCTCAGTGTTGCAGCAGCCTGCCACCATGATGTGCTACTGTAACAATGCTGCAAACTAGCAAAACAGTTCTTACAGGTTTGTTATGGTGTGTTGAACATGTCTGGCTGCTGATGCTGTGGTTACCTAGAAGTGTTATTTCTGAACTGGATACAAGATGTAGAAACCAATGGAGCCTGATGCAAGTCTTGTTCTGTCTGAATTGTGTGCTAGTGATCACCAGCAGCTGTCAAAGCTCATCCAGGAAGCCCCAACTGTTGCAGTGAGGGAAGATCTGGAGAGGGAACTGGAGGCACTGGTGGGAAAGATGGAAGCAAAGGCAGACCAAATCAGCAAAGTTCGGAGGCATCGTTTGCAGGTGAGTTTCTTTTGCCTGTGTTCATGCTCATGTAGAGTTGCTGACTTAAGCAGGGTTTTTTTTATGCTATATCCTAATCTAGCAGCAATTGCATAAAGCAGAAGTAACTAGAGTAGCATTGTCTAATTCCACCTTTGACATCCCAAAGTTAGTCTGCATACCTCCATGTACCCCAGTATTTTTGCAGAAACCTGTCACCGTTGTGCTCACTCATTCAACCTGTCCTGGACAGAGCTTTCACATCTGTTCTCACATTGCATTTTACACTCCTCTTGTCCCTTGAACATTGTTGAACAGTTTTCCTTTACTTGGAGTAAAGAACATATTTATGTTTTGATTTGCATTTTTTTAAGACTCAAAATACGTGTTTCGCCTGTTTTACAACTTTCAGAATGTTTTGGATAGTGTAGCCTTTTCATTCAAATCTGTAAAACTGATTCCCCATTTTCTTTTGTCTTCATTAATTTGAGTGAATTTCTTTCAAAGAGCTTAATCCCATGTGTTTAATCTGGTTCAGTTCATATGAATAATGATTCACCCTCACCTGATGTAGCTTATACACAAAATATGCTGAGACCTGACACTCAGAATGGACCTGTGAAATGCTTGCTGTTAGAAGTATTATTCACTTTCGATTATCTTCAGAGGAACTGCTGATTCCTGACAGAGAAGCAGATGTGCTGTAGTTCCCAGCAGTAATGATGCTGCATGTGCTATTGGCAAAAGTTTTAGGATCTGGGATTTAGAAAAACTGCTTCATACTGTCAGCTAGGAGGAGGGTGCACCCCCACCTGCAGAGAGGGGAGCTATAGAAGCCATCCATGTTGTGGTTTGGGTGAGAGAAGATATGAAGAAGAGAGAATGTGTCTGGATCTGACTGTCCAGTTCCCCATTCAGTCTTTGCTGGGCAGTACTGAGACTCACATGCTTTGATTTTACAGAGCTGGGTGTGGATACCACCTTTTCACCCCAGCAGAGCTCTGGTACTCTTTCGGAGCTACATCTGACAGTGACTAGCTATTAAAATTACTAGTATGTATGTAAAAAAAAAAACTGCTTTGTTTTCTTTTTTAATCACTGGATGGTAACAGTGATAAATCAACTTTTTTCTCTGCATCTTTTTATGTTACATTCCTGATGGCAGTGTTCCCCCATAATGAACTACTCAGTTTTTAGAGAGGTGGTAGATCACTGTAAGCTAAACACAGCTCTAAAGATACAAATATAATGATGCTTTGTAAGGAAAATAAAGTATTTATTGTTCAGTGTGACTTGGAAACGACCATTTGCTTACCTGGGCAAGGTAAGTTGTGGGATATTTCAGTTGATTGGAAGAATTGCTGGACATAAAACTGAAACAAGATCACTTCTTAATGTTTTTCTTTGGGCTTCTCTTTCAGCTAGAGAGACTTAAGAGAGAATGCAAGTCCAGAAAGACTCCTGCTAAACAAATAAAAGACAGCAGGTTCCCAGTCAGTGAGGTTAAAGTAACAACTACAGTAACCACAAAAGGGAAGAATGCAGGTCCCATCAAAGTGAAGCCTGGAGAAAAGAGTCGGAAAAATCTTCAGTTGCTGAGAGACATGCAGAGCATACAGACTTCACTACAGAAAGATGATATCAGCTGGGACTACTGACTTTTTTGCAGGAGATGTTCTTGAACCATCATGGCCAAACTTACATTCTGGATCTAAAGCAGCTGCCTTTCTTGCTGTGTGGAAGAGACTACTATATGATAACCGCACTATTGAAATACAGGCTTACAGGCTCTTGGCTCTCCATCCCTGCATTTGGTTGTATATATTATGGTCTAGCTTAAATCACATTCCATTTTCAAGGTACATGGACAGTGAACCTTAACAACAGGGCTCCCCCAGTTCCCTGTGTTATGGTTCCAGCTGTCCTTCTGTGTTGTTCCAGCACACCGAGCACCGCACATTTGCGTGGGTTGGTGTGTGTGTGTGTGATGTGCCGTTTCATGCTGTTGATCCAGGAGGCCTCTCAGGATGCATCTTGTGTGAAAACAGTGCTGCAGCCCTGGGTGTTGAGGGCTTTTGTCAGTTCTGTTCTGTGTGCAGCTGCACTGACTCCATCTCTGGGAGGGTCTGAGGGAGAACAGGTAAACTCTTTCAAAGGTGTTCTGTAGGGTTCCCTTCAAAAGGTGTCCCTGGTTCCTGTTCTGCTGTGTTGCATTAGTCAGCATCAGTGGCAGTGGATGTTTGAGTACTCAGAAAGGGAGCAAAGTAATTTATGAATTATGTTGCTTAATGATCAAGTGAAATTTTTCTACAGAAATCCTGCTTTAGCAAAAAGCTCTAGGATAGGGGATAATACCCTGTTGTTTCTAGCTGACAGCTTTGAGTGGTAAAGGAGTGAGAGAAACTGTCTTTTAAACTGCAAGTGCCTCAATTGTGCCATTTGGTCCTGGCGTCTTGCTTTTAACTTGAAGTATGTGCTTTGATGAGATATCAACTTTGGTAGTAGTGCAATTAAGTTTGTGCTCTGACTTGCACAGCTGATTAAATGTTATTTATTATGTTAATAATTTATAGAACTTCCTATTAATGGAATGTATAGAAGACCCAGATTACCTGTATATACAGTTGAAAAATAATAAAGCCGACTTGCCTGATGAATGCATTGTGGGAAAGCTGCACTTCCTCTATGTTAGCTGGGTGCTTGCTGCAGCACTGTGCCACAGCCAGTGGGCTTTTCATGGCAGGGTGGCTTCTCCCTGGTCAGGGTGGTGAATGAGAGCTGCAGGTATGGGTAGAGTCAGAGCAGTCCACCCTTGCCTGTTGCTGAACAGGCAGGGGACTCTGCAGGGTCAACACAGGCACAAGGGGGTTGAGTTTGTTGCCTGCAGATGATCCACCCAGCTTGTCTCCTTGCACCAAAGGCACATAGGGTGTTAGCTGCTGTTAGATGCTACTAACCAGCTGTGGTGGGAGTAACCACTTAAAGAGCAGTTAATGCCAGGGGTCCTGAAAAATCAGTAGCTGAAACTTACACTCTCATTTTGCCTGGGAAGGAGCTTTGGAGATAAGCTTGCTCAAAGATGGGTTAATTTCAGCATGACCTCAGGCTGTCCTCTTGCAGCTCCTTGACTGTTGGAGGGCTTAGGAGTACTTTAGGCTCCATCCATGCTCCCTGCAGCGAATGAATGAAGTGTACAAGTTAGAATTAAGCCCACTGAGCATCAGGGAGCAGCCACTGAGTTGATCACAAATCATCCCAGTGAATTTAGGCATAAGTTCCATGCAAAAATGTCTTTCTTTTACAGAGAAGTTACTGTGTTGCCAATGCACTGTAAGGTGCAGAAATTGTGGAAGTCTGTTTTAGTCATGAACATATTTCAGAATACTTTGGGCAAAATACTTTCACAATTAAAAAAAAATCTGCACTTCACAGTGCATTAGACAGTAGCTTCTATGAGAGTTGGGGTTGTTTAGCATGGAGAGGATGAGGCTCTGGGGTGACCTTCTAGCACCTGAAAGGGTTATTAAGAGAGCTGGAAGAGGGCATGTAGTGATATGAGAAGGGAGAATGGCAGGGAGAGGGCAGGTTTAGATTAGCTATCAGGAAGAAATTCTTTACTGTGAGGGTGGTGAGAAACTGGTACAGCTTTCCCAGAGAAGCTCAGGATGCCCCACCCCTGGAAGTGTTCAAGGCCAGCTTCAATGGGGCTTTGAGCAACCTGATCCAGTCAAAGGTGTCCCTGCCAATGAGGGGGGGGGGGTTGAAACTGGATGATCCTTAAAGCTCCCTTCCAACTCAAACTTTCGTTTGATTCTGTGATTCTGTTTTTATATACTGAGCAGCTAAGCACTGTATCTGTATTAATACTGGTCTGTACAGGATAAATGAAACTTGTCCAAAGATGAATCTTTGTTTTCTGTCATTCTAGGCTTCAGAGTTTCAACATTAGCAACTTGAAAGGCCCTCTGCAGAAGAATGAGAGATATTCAGATTTCACACACTGAACTTGCAGTGCTATTTATTTAACGTCTGCATGCCCTGCAAGCACTTTGGAAAACCACATAGTTGAAAATATGAGTACAGGAACTTCATCCATTTATCTGTTTTTATTAGTGTTAAGGAAACCAAACAGCCTTCATCAAGAAACAAAATATACACACACAGTCAGTTTGCTAATATAGAATAATGCTTTAAACCATCTTATATAGTGATTGTACATAAGAGCAGACCTGCCCTTTAACCTCAAAGCAAATCCAAGTCCTTAGAAAGTATTTTGTGTGGATTCTTTGCACTATTGAACCATAATGTGTCAGGCCACCCTATACCAAACGTGGTGATGCTGTGTAGCCTGTTACTCGTCCTGTTGGAAGGTGGCTGTGGATTTCTCTGTAAGCACAGTGTGGTGATTGCAGCAGTAGAGCAGGCAGAAGAGGAGACTGCAGGAGGAAATGACTGCTAACTGCCTTAGAAGGAATGTGGCTTTTGAAAGGTTGTTTCTTAGGTGGAAATGGGTCTACTCTTATGCTCCCTCCAAAAATCCTTCTCTAGAGGAATAGCAGCTGACAGGTATATTAAACAGGTGACCGCAGTCTGGGATCTGTTCCTAAAAGAGCAACACAGGAACCCACACCAAGCAGCACCCCTTCTCCTCAGCAGAGAGGTAGAGAAGCAGCCTGAAGATCTTGCACATTTCCTACCTTTGCTCTAAGACCCCTCTTCGGCAACCCTGTGCTTACCTGTTTGGAAGAGCAGGGGGGCAGTCATGGTTTCACCAAGTGTGTATCTCCTACAGTAAATTTTTGTATTAAAATTGAATTTCAGCTTGAGTTTGAGTGACACAGTTCTTGAAGCAGACTATGAGGAAAAAGGTAGGGTGTAGAAAATGGCTAAGCTGTTCAGTCTGCCAGAAAAACCTAAAGCAGCAGTTTCAATGCAGGCAGAAAGGCGTCTTTGGTTGATGCAGTTGCTTCCATTAGTTAGCAGAAAGCTGAAATATCATAAGTACACCACTATAACCCTGCACAGAAGCATTAAAATTGCTAATTATGCTTACCCAAGCAAAATGTAATGGCTGATCCCAGCAGTTCACACGTGCCCCTTGGTATTCCACTACCTTTTGCCCTGATGACTATGAGGCACTGGAGGCCAGAGGAGCTATGGAAAGCCCAGAGGAGGCACACTCTGCTCCCCCCTCTGAAATAAAGGTGCTTAAGTTGCATCCTGGCACACCCACTGTAAACCATAAGTGAGATTCTAAAGTTGCAGAGATGGAAGTAAACGTCCTACAAAGTCAAGTCCTGTATTGTTGTTCCTCTACCGCAGTGTTTTATTGGGAGAAGCTGCCCTTTCTTTAAATAAGGCATTGCTTACATGGCTTCCTATGACCTAGGTTGAGGTGAAGGGAATGACTTGTTTCAGACACTGCTGTTGCTTGTTTCCAGGTGTGCTGGCAAATGCCCTCATTCACTCTGCTGTGCAGGAGGGTGTGGATGGCACAGCTGCATCTGAGGCTCCAATACAAAGTCAGGTTTGGCCTTTCAAACTTCTGAGCAGATGTTTTTCCCCCAGGGTACTTCATGCTTGTGCACGGACTCTTTCAAGCCAAGTGATTTCCAACACATCAGTGAACAAAGAGCAAGCTCCAGGCTTCTTACAGATGGTAAGTGCAATTGGCTTGTATTATAAGCTAGCCACTGAGAAGGATAATTGCATAGGGGGCCTTGTCTGTGTTGGTTTTTGCTTTAAGCTTTCTCTAGTGCTACAGTACTAATAAATTACCCTGGAGAGAAATAAATAAATAGGTTGGCATCTCCCAGGCACCATGCTGGAAATCCAGGAGGTTTCAGAAAAGTTGCCTCCCATAGTTCTGGGAAGGTAGTCAGCAAAAAAAAAAAAAGTCTATTATACAACTGTCTGTACGGGCGCGACGCACTGTGCGGGAGAGCCGGCTCGCTCCGAGGATGAGGTGGAACGGTTGGTGATTTCTCTCTGCAGCTCCTCCACCTTCTTCTGCAGCTCAGCCCGCTTGGCCAGAAGCTCCTTGTAGCGATTGTGAACAGGTTCCTGCAAGGAAATGTGTAGCTGAGCACTGGGGGGGCAGCATGGAAGTGGAAGCCTGAAGCACAATACTGTTGCTGACCTTACAGACAGCTATGGGGAAAGGAGGTGACTGAGTGGTTGCTCTGGCTCTGGGCTGCTCACTTGGATCCAACATGCACAGTGCAATGGTGGCTAAACAAAGTCTGTTTTGAAAGACAGCAGTTGCCAAACTCTGATCTCTGACATTTCTGGGGGATACTGGCCATGGTATCTCAGCCTAGACAATTTCAGGGGCTTGGGAGGAAAAAAGCCCAGCCAGATTTTTCTAGATATTTTCACATAGTTCTGACTGTTTAACAGTCAGTACTGCCAAGTGTTTGTTCCTGTCTCTAACGCCGCAGATCTGCAAAACTGTTACCTGCAGACAGGCACTGAGGCAATTGGGAATTTTTGTCCCTACTAAAAAGTGATGTCAGCGCTCAGGGTCATGCTCAGACTGCTTGTCTCAGGTGCCTGCCCTGGACAAGCCAGCTTCCCTGCTGGCTGGGGTCAGACTCCTGTACCTCAGGCAGCCAAAACAAGCAGCAGGTTCCCATCACCAGTAATTTAAATACAGCCCCGAGATTCCTATCTAGAACCCCACATCCAGAGAAGTCTTAGGGGTTTTAAGATCATTTGTAAAGAGAATTCAGATCATTTTTTCCCACATTCTAAGTGAGAAATTTCCCAGATTGCTGAGAATCCTCAGCTCCTGCAGATTTCACAAGGTGGTGATGTCCAGCTGGGTACCTGCACTGGCAGCTCTAGGTGGTGCTTGCTCTTGCTGCCATTTGAATTGAGGTGTTTGTTTTCAGATTTAAGCAGTGGCAGCATAAGCTTGTGCATTACCTAAAGGTCTTGACCTGTGGAGTAACAGTATTGGTACTGGCAGAGAGAGAAGCAGGAGTAGGAAGAGGCATACCTGAGGCTTCATCCTGGGGTTCCAGCGGATGTAGTAGCCAACCCACAGCTCGAGGTGGCGCATGCTGGCCACGGGATACAGGACGTGGTTGGAGTAGCTCACGTACAAGGGGTTAGTAAAGTCTTCCAGTTGGCTATTGATGTAAGACCAAAGTGATACAGTCTTTTTTGGAAGGCTCTGTAAAGGGAACGGGTGGAGGAGGCTTTATTTGCCATCTACAAACTATATCTACAAACTATAGCAGCACAGACACATGCCTGTGATTAATAATGGAGCTGGTTGTTTTTTGTAGCTTAAAAAAACCTCCCAAAACTGTTCTTTTGATGTGGTTATTGTACTCAATGCACATGGATGCAGGCAGGCACACATGCCCTGGCATGGAACAACCCCTCTGGTCCACCCAGCTGTCAACACAGACCAGGAATCACCATTGCTACAGTGAGGGGACACTGGCATGTGAACTCCCAGTGCTTCAGTTAAACTTCACTTCTCTGAAGTGCTCCTGGAGGACTTGCTGGACTATTTAATTGCAAAGGAAGAAAAGAAAACATTTGACTTAGGCCCTGATCTAGTGGAATAATTATGCCTGTGAATACTCCCACTGAAACCAGTGCTGAAGTACTTTCTCGATTAAGTACTTCACTAGGCTGAGGCCTTTAAAAAAA